TAAGGAGAAGGAAAACGGTATCCATACAATCCTAAGTACTCTGAAGAATAGCTCATATAAACACAGAAAAGGGAAGTAGAGTGGGGGACGGTGAGCTCATTGATTCACATGAGAAAATCAGCATGAGGTGAGTTAGGAAAAGTACTTCCAAACTCAGGGCACAGGGAAGCAAACTGCAGATAGGACCTCTTTCATACCTTAATGAGATTCTTCTCCAGCCTGAAGCAGAAAGCTCTGGTACATGGATGGAGATAGTGACACCCTTTTGCTGCTTACTTGCTCTGAGAACGAAGCGAAGTTATATATGTGAAAGGGGGGTGAAATACCAGTGAGGTTGGAGGGTGACTTACTAGTTAAGAGGAGGAGCTATTAACACTGTGAAAGTCTGTGGCAGCAGGTTGGGCAGCTGTAGAGGGCAGCATTTGGGTGAGGACACAAAGAAAAACAGATAATGTGATGCCACCTGCCAAAAGGAGGGAATGCCATGGGAATTTCTGATGTAGATAAGACAGAATGTTTTCATAAAACTTCTTTAATCTGAATTTCTGCTAAGACTCTTGTCAGATTGACAGCAGACATTTTGACAAATCCACAGCTTGTTGATAGTTTTACTTTCCAGAAGATAGACATGATATAGGATCTTGCTACTCTTAATTCTGACTAGAATGGTGAAGTACAAACCCCAGGAATTTGAGAAAAAGCAATGGTATCCCTGTGTTTAGGCTGGCCAGGAGGTCAAGGCCAAGAGAGTTTTAAGAAGGACTTTTTCCTTGGACTTTGAGGGCAGGGAAAGACAGCCGTTCATTGAAGTCCTCACTCTCTGGAAGGAAAAAGGAGCCACTTCAGGACGTTCTTAAAAATATAATCCTAGCTGCGCAATTACAGTTAAGCTGGCAAGAAACAGATGTCCCCAAACTCTCTCAAATTGTGAGTTTTCAAAAGACATATACAAAAGATGGAAAGAAAGACTTAAAATCAAGGAATGGATTTTTTCAGAATAGTCTCAGGAATATACAAAGCTTGGGCAAGTAGAGATGGGTTTGGAACAGAAAAGGAAAACAAAGGATCCTTGTTTTCTCTTTAGGGACAGAGCTAAACAGAATGGAAGGGCCAATGGCCTAGGGCCTATACCTTAACATTGAAAAAGAGAAATAAATTATTTAAGGGTGTTCTGCAAATGACCTGACAAAATGTTAATAATTATTGAAGCTGAGTAATACAGGCTGACACACAGGGATTGACTACATCTTTCTTTCTATTTTGGTGTATATTTGAAAATTTCCATGGTAAAAATTTTTAAAATTATATACGCTTTGGAAAATAGAGAAAAGAACTGATAACAGGGACTGCAGTAGAACGAACACCAAACTACAGCCACATCTGTATCTAAGTTAGGGGTAGGGACAAAAAAGGAGGGAAGGGTATCAGTGAGTGCCATTTTTTTTTTTTTTTTTGAATGATTGGTAAAGTCTTCGTTGTTTTTACTTCCGGAGAAATCGTGCGTGTATCAGCTCTGAGAGACGATCACTGTGCTCTGCGTTAGTGCACTGTCCTGTCACCTTTTGTAGCTGGAGCTGGTAGAAGGTGCTTTGAATAGATTTTCACTGAGAAAGGATCACTGACTTTCTGTATTGTGAATGGTCCCAAGAGAGGCCTCTGAGTGACACTGCTGGGGTCCTTGCCTCTGAGACCATCTCTGTACTCAGCCATAGCAGTAATGTTTTAACCATTTTAGAAGCTGTTCTAAAGGCTTTCATGTTCTTCTTTGTAGATTTTTTGTCTCCTTTTGCTTATTAGAATAAAAAATAAAAAGCAAGACTATGTGTGGAAACCAAGAAAGACCGAGAAGGTTATTCTCAGGCTCCTTTACTGGTTCTTCCTGTTGTCCCTACTTTTTCAAAGTAGCAAGTCCTCCTGGGACATTCTCCTCTGTTTGTATTCATTCCCTTGGTGACCTCATCCAGGTTTATTGCTTCAAATACCATATATGATAGAACCTCCGTAGCTAACTGCCTCCTTAAATTGTCCACCTCCTTAAGTTGACCTAATTTCCATAGACTGGACATGCACCCCATGTATGTATCATTACAGCAAGCCTAGTTCCTTATGTTGACCACCTCTGTGTGTAGACCACTTTGTTGCAGTCCCTTGGATGGTCACCTTACAGAAGTTCTACTGTATATACTAATGACTCAGAAAGATCTAGTCCAGACCTGGCCCAGCTTTCAGGTTCATATAGTGGCCCAGGACATTTCCCCTTGGCTGTCTGGTAGTTATCTCAGGGCTCAGCATGTCCCAAATGGAATTCCTGATATATCTGGATTCCAAAGTGCTTTTCATACCTCTGCCAGCACCACCCTGGTTTAAGCCACCATCATCTCACCTAGACTGCTGCTCTCCCTAATTCCACCATTGCAACCCTAATGGTCTTCTTAAACATTAAGTTAAACCATGATACTTCTCTATTCAAAATGTGCACTGGCTCCCTCTCCCACTCAGTAAAATCCAGCCCCCTTATAATGCCTGCCCATTATAAGGACCCTATGTGATCTGCCCTCCACCCTGACCTCTCTGCCTTTATCTCTGGCCTTACCTCACTACAGCCACTCCTGAGGCACATCCTTGCACAGGCACGTCCTTGCGGGCTTTGTGCTGGCACTTCTTTGTCCAGGTACATTTTTACAGACATCCATGAGCCACTTCGTATACCTTCTTCAAGTCTGTGCTCAAATGTCGACTTCTCCGAAATTGAGGCCCATCCACTTTGACCATCCTGCTCCGGAGTGCCACTGGTGCCACTCCTGAGCTCCTTACTTACCACCTTTTCATTTCTGTAGCACTTAACTACCTTCTGATGTGCTGTATAATTTGCTTATTTATTTTGCTTACTGTTTGTCTCCACCTGCTGGAATTTAAACTACACAGGAACAGTGATCTTTGTTCTGCTCAGTGACGCATTCCATGAACCTAGAACAGGACCTGCCCGATAAAGTATTGATTAATAGAACAGTGTAGACTGTCAGAAAGAGAAAGGGTTGGCAGTGTCAGGACAGCAGGGAGGTCTTGCAAGGTAACACTTGAAGGCTCTCTACTGAGTGATGGACCTGGGGGGTTGGAGGGTGATCCTATTGGATTGCCTCTTATCAGTGCACCCACTTGAAGGGTCTAGACCCCCATGCATCTTGGTGATATAGAAGGCTACAGGAGCCGTGAGGTTTCTGTTTGGGAAAGGGCAGTTTGGTTATCTTAGCATCTTAGAATGCCTTTCTCCAGCTAGCCCAGGAGGGCTGTCCAGTGTCAGCACATGGGTGCACTGAGATACCATTTATGAAGCTGATCCCATCCTGTTCAGTAGGATGGCACCTGATGGCACAGGGTAGAGAGCCCTTATGTCTGCATGTAACACTCTGGAAAAATACCCTGTAGGCAGCGCCCATAGCTTAGTGGGTAGGGTGCTGGCCAGATACACCGAGGCTGGCGGGTTTGAACCTGGCCCAGGCCAGCTAAAGCAACAATGACAACTATAACCAAAAAAAAAAAAATCCAGGTGTTATGGCAGGCGCCTGTAGTCCCAGCTGCTCAGGAGGCTGAAGCAAGAGTTTGGGCTTAAGCTCAAGAGTTTGAGGTTGCTGTGAGCTGTGATTCCATGACACTCTACCCAGGGCAACAGCTTGAGACTCTGTCTCAAAAAAAATAAATAAATAAATAAGAGAAAAATACTCTGTAGTAAGCCCTTGTTATAAGTTATTGAGTAAAAATGCTAGGTTTAAAATTATTTATAGCAGTTATCTAAGAGGGTTATCTGTAAAGCTCATTCATTTTTTTACCCATAAGTCAACCGTTCCCTTTGCTATACCAATTTTCAAACTATTGAACACCTGGTTTATAAATGAGAAAGAGGCTTGGCGCCTATGGCTCAAGTGGCTAAGGCGCCAGCCACATACACCTGAGGTGGAGGGTTCAAATCCAGCCCAGGCTCGCCAAACAACAATGACGGCCGCGACCAAAAAATAGCCAGGCATTGTGGCGGTGCCTGTGGTCCCAGCTACTTGGGAGGCTGAGGCAGGAGACTCGCTTGAACTCAGGAGTTGGAAGTTACTGTGAGCTGTGATGTCACAGCACTCTACCCAGGGGGACAGCTTGAGGCTCTGTCTCAAAAAAAAAAAAAAAATAGATGAGAGAGAATTGGAATCATTTGCAGTTTATAAGGTTGCTGAGAATTATTTTCTCCTGTTATTTTAAAGAAAATTATTAACTTGAGTTTGATCATCTTAAATGTGTTTTATTTTATTAATGTATTTGCTCTGTAAAAGTATTGAACATGTACTAATCATTACACATTAACTTATTTCTTCTATTCACCTCTTATGAAAAGCTGATTATTACTTTAATAATTAACTTTTCTTGGTTGGGCATGGTGGGTCATACCGTAATCCTATCACTCTGGGAGGCCAAGGCAGGAGGATCACTTCGAAGCCACGAGTTTGAGGTTGCAATAAGCTATAATGACACCACTGCATGTCAGCCCAGATGCCAAGTGAGACTCTGTCTCCAAAAAAAAAAAAAAAAGAAATTAACTTTTCTTGTTTCCTCAGACTTTACCAATGTGTGCTAAACTGATTAAATAGTATATTTATTATTTATTATAATAAATTATATATATTATTATATATTATATATAATTTATAAATTTTAATAAATTTATTGTATATAATTAATGAATTATATATTATATATTATAATTATCTTAGAATAATTTTTTTATTTGGGATAAGCCACTATGGGCCACTCTGATAAAGGTCCAGTGGAGGCCAGAGCTCTCTGGGTACCATGTGCGAGGTTGGGTCAGGAAGAACCATTTAGCAAAGTCTTCACATCCTCTGCTTCCTGTGAACTGGGACATTGTCGTGCAGCATGGAGGGGAGCCTAGAGTTGGTATCTGGGGATTGTGTCACTGCCTAGGGGCTGGGATAATAACTCAGTACTTTCCTTTCTCACAGTTGTTTCCTCTCTTTGCTCCTGGTGGCTGCTGTGGTTTGGAAGATCAAACAAAGCTGTTGGGCCTCCAGGCGTAGAGAGGTAAGCCTCAGTGGATAAAGATGAAAGAATCTCTGTAGTAGTTTTCTTTCTTTCTTTTTCTCTTAAGCAAGTTAGTTTTAGCTCTTTAGGGATAATCTGATATTATAGATAGACTTATCCAGAGTAAGAATTATGCTGCCTTTTTGCAGCGTATGGTTCTGTAGTATATAGTCAGTAGACTTACATTGGTGCTACATAAAGTGTAATTAATTCTACACCACAGGGTTTTAACTTCCTAAAAGGAAACTCCAGTGTTGATTTAGAGATGCCACTTTTATCCTTCTTACGAGAAGCCAGAGTCCTTGACTCAGGCTGGTGATCTGAGGGCTTATTAGCCCACCCTCAGCCATTCACTTGATTTGGCACATCCTTCTTGAGAGCCTTTCATAAGAATGAGAGTGAAGTCAGCCATTTAAGTATCTCAAAAATATATCATTATTCAAAGAAAGACAAATGTGTGTCTAAGTTTTTAGCATGACTTGTTTTTAAATGAATCTTATTTGTTTCCAGAGCTCCATTCCAAAAGTAATAATCAAATGTTTACAGTTGACAAGTTCAAATAAATGAGCTTAGTTAAAAATTACAACATAGCCAGTGTGATGGCACATGCCTGTAATCCTGGCACTTTGGAAGGCTAGGGCAGGTGGATTGCTTGAGTCCAGAACTTGAGTTATGACGATGCCACTGTACTCCAGCCTGGGCAACAGATCCAGACTCTGTCTCAAAAAAAATTATAACATAAAAACTCTTTTATTCCAACTTTAACTTGTATCGTTCCTTTGCCTTTGTTTAGTCATAATGTCTGTTATATTGCCGCTAATGAAAATGTTCACATATATAATATCTAGACTCATACGCTCCTGTTGATTTTCTGTGTCTACTCATGAAAGTAATAGATAAAAATACATCTATAATGAGATTTAGAAGAGAACTGAAGTATCTAAAATCATAATTCACAGCTCAGTGGTGTTCATAGAATGTTAGTGTCTGTGGGCCTCTTCCTGCAGGCTGTAGCCCCGCTGTGTCTAACCCATGTAAGGGCAGTGTTATCATAGAGGGAATGTTGCATCCTCTTTATTATTGGTTTTTAATTCAGAGGATAACATATTCAGATGGGGTTTTTAATAGCTCTGTTACTGATAACATTTTAAAATCTCAACAAATCAACGGCACCCGTGGCTCAGTGAGTAGGGCACTGGCCCCATATACCAAGGGTGGCAGGTTCAAACCCAGCCCCAGCCAAACTGAAACAAAAAAATAGCTGGGCATTGTGGTAGGGGCCTGCAGTCCCAGCTACTTGGGAGGCTGAAGCAAGACAATTGCCCTAAGCCCAAGAGCTGGAGGTGGCTGTGAGCTGTGACGTCACAGCACTCTATCGAGGGCAACAAAATGAGATTCTGTCTCTAAAAAAAAAGTAATAATAAAATAAAATAAAATCTCAACAAATTATATGGTACTCTGAAAAAAATGTAAGTTATCAAAGTGAAGTAAGAAAGAAATAGGGAGATTCTGTAAGCTGGTAACCAGGAAAGGAATTGAAAACTTGAGGCATTACTGTCTCAAGGAGACCACTGGGCCCAGGGAGTTTCAGGGTTGAGATGAGCTCCTGGAGATAATGGTAGCATATTCCTCCTGGGGTGCTTGAGAATTGAGTATTTCCAAAATCTGCATTGTTCCAGAGCAAAGGAAAAGATAGGAAGCTTAAAAAGTTCCTAACTCATTTTATGTGTAGAAACCTTGATACCAAAACCTGACAAAGATAGCACTGAATCATAAAGGTAACTTTCATAGTGAATGTATGTGCAAGTCTGGTTGCCAGTGTAATAGAAGAATAATTTAACACCAGAAAACCTATTAGAACACATCATATCAGTGCATAAAAAGTAACACCTAAATTTGTACTAGAGGCCAGATAGTCATATAGTCATTTATAGAAATTCAATATCCATTCCTAATTTAACAACAAAACTCTTAGTAAACCCCAAAATACCTTTTTAACACTGTGGAAAATATGTAGATAGCCAGCATCACTCATGATGAGAAAACATTAGAAATTGTACTACTAAAATGTGTAGTTTTGCACCATTATCACACAGTTTGTCAGCGACACAATTGGGCTTTAAACCATGGACTTCTGAGGGTGGGCACAGTGGCTCATGCCTGTAATCCTAGCACTCTGGGAGGCTGAGGTGGGTGGAATGCCTGAGCTCATGAGTTTCAGACCAGCCCCGCCAGAAGTGAGACCTCTTCTCTGGAGTTGTGGTAGACGCCTGTAGTCCCTGCTACTCGAGATGCGGAGGCAAGAGAATTGCTTAAGCCCAAGAGTTTAAAGATTGCTGTGAGCTATGACACCATGGCACTCTACTGAGGGCAACAAAGTGAGATTCTGTCTCAAAAAAACCCCAAAAAAACAAAAACGATAGGCTTCTGTCTTCACAGCCCAAGTTCCTAATCATCATGTAGACCGGAAGGTCACTTCCCTTTGTTCTGGATGTTAGACTGCACTAAATGAGAAAGCAACAGGAAGTTCTGTTAGTTTAGAAAGGAAACAAAATTACTGTTTTCATACAAGGTTAGTGAGACTCTAAGTAGAGATTTGCTTACATGAAAATTAATACTTATCAAAATTCAACTAGAAATTATTTGCAACCTACATAAGAGAGAAAATAAGAAGATGAACACGGCTCGGCGCCTATAGCTCAACCGGCTGGGGCGCCAGCCACGTACACCTAAGGTGGCGGGTTCGAATCCCCAGCCCGGACCCGCCAAACAACAATGACGGCTGCAACCAAAAAATAGCCGGGCGTTGTGGCGGGCGCCTGTGGTCCCAGCTACTTGGGAGGCGGAGGCAGGAGACTCGCTTGAACCCAGGAGTTGGAGGTTGCTGTGAGCTGTAGTGCCACGGCACTCTGTCCAGGGGGATAGCTTGAGGCTCTGTCTCAAAAAAAAAAAAAATAATAATAATTTAGAAGATGAACACCACGTAGAAAAAAAGGTTAAACGGAAAGTGTACTTAGTATGTATTTGATCAACTAATAAACTAAGATTTTACCTTTATAATCTGAAGTTTCTCTATAACTGTGAACCTGACTGGTTTCATCATTTCTAAAACATCAGTCATGATTTATTCCCTTTCAGAATTGTAGAAGCAATGATATTATTTTATTTATAATAACAATAATAGTAGCAGCTGCCACTGTTGACGTTCTTGCTATATAGCAGGCCCTGTTTTAAGTGTTTACACATTAACTTACACACTCTTCATAAAGGCATGAGAATGGGAACTGGAGCAGGGTAGGTCACTCTACTATGACCCCAGAACATAGAACAGCACAAAACCCAGAGATTGGTTGCTGCATGTATTTTTTGAGTAAATGCACCAACAGTTTTCTGAAATGTAGAAATGTTACTATTGGTACTTTAAGAAAATATTTAACATAAAAATGCTTTTCTAGAACAGAACTCTGCTTTCTCCAGCCCAAGATTCTGTCTCTTACAAGTAGGTAGTTGGAAGTAAGGCCTGTTTGTCTTCTGTTGCATAACCTCAAAGTTTGAATAGCATGCCCAGAAGATCTCTGGTATCCCTAATGATGTATGAATGAACATTCACGCTACAGTATCTCCTTTGATCCCATTGACAATCTGTGAGATAAAAAGACATTTTAGGCGGCAGTACCCATAGCTCAGTGGGTAAGGCGCCAGCCACATACACCTATGCTGGCAGGTTCGAACCTGGTCTGGGCCAGCTTAACAGCAATGACAACTGAAACAAAAAAATAACTGGGGGTTGTGGTGGGCACCTGTGGTCCTGGCTACTTGGGAGACTGAGGCAAGAGAATCACTTAAGCACAAGAGTTTGAGGTTGCTGTGAGCTGTGATGCCACAGCACTGTACCCAGGGTGACATAGTGAGACTCTGCCTAAAAAAAAAAAAAAAAAAGACATTTTAGGGAGGAGGAAACTGGAGCCCAGAGATTTGAAATACTTTTCTTAAGGTCACACAGGGAGTTAAAACAGGCTGTCAGATCCAAGCCTCCCCCAATCCAGATCCTCTGCTTATCCCTCTACTCTATAGAATTCCACATTTTTTATGTTTTTCACTTATACCACCTTTCTGAATGAAGATTTCTCTCGGTTCCTATCTGCCATGTAAGGAGGCACAGGTTTTTGTTGATCTAATAAAACACCTGGTTCTGTTGTGCCCACCCCGGGGGTCGCCTACCCAAAGACCACTCACAATCACAAATCGATGCAAAAAGCAAGAGGCAGGTTTATTGCTGGC